TCAGTATGTGTAAGATGAAGCCAAGCTGATCAGAAACACTCTGCAGTCCTCCTTTAGGGTCACTACGCACAGCCCTAATTACATTGCCTCTCACAAACCTGCCTGAGCGGTGTGCCAGTACTGCCATCTAGTGTTAGGATGATGAAATCTTCTTTCTTGGATTTCAGATGTCGCTCCTTAACTTCACAACCCAGCGGTCACATCCTTATGTTAAATGCATTGCATGTATGACACTTCCAAGTAATTGGTTATTCAAGGAAGATGTCAGATTCGTGTTGCTTGTTTTTGTAAACTTAGTATATTGTAGGACTGCACTCATCCACTATTTTCACTTCTGATACCGATATCTGAGGTTCAGTATCGACCGATACCGATCTGATACAAACAGTGCTGAATCGACTTAAAATGTTTCTGTTTTAAAATGCAGTCATAAACGTACTGAATTACAAATTTGTTTGATAACTCTGCACCAATACAGTACAGTTAAATATACCAACAGCTTCTCAAGCTTGATCAAACGTGTAAAAACAACTTTAATTTGTTCAGTCAGTGCAATTAGGAATATAACAGCCAACATATAGTAAATGATAAAGAAACCGAAACTGACGAAAACAATAGGTTGCAACAAACCTAGTTAGAAACTGCAATTAGGAATTCTAAATACAATACAGAATAAATAATAAAACATGCCATTGCTCAGAGTACAAAGCATAGAATTAGATTGAATAGATCTGCCCTTGCGGGTCAGGCACATTGTTATCGACACCCAATCTAGAGTTTTTCTAATGCACTTGATTAACTTGTTCAACAAGCGTGACCACCCTTATAAAAGTCAGAGTTTTAGCATGTTGTATTAGCAACTTACCAAAGTGGAATCAGCAATGGCCTGAGAGATGCAATTGTTGCTACCCCTCAATCTGAGAAGGATTTAGAGGGCAACTTTGAGCAATTTGAAGTTGACTGTTCTACAGTCAGAAAGATTCTTCACAGTTGACAATCTTCTTTGAAGACCCCAGCTAAATCACCTCAATGCTCAGGCAAATTTTAATGATCACTAAAGTACAATTGGTAATGCCTGAACAAGTAAGGAAGGGTTGTCATGACAAAGACTCTTATCTCTGAGAACAGTGGCATCTCAACTCTGGGCAGAAGACAGCAGAGTGGAGTTGTTGTCCCAGACTAAGTTTGATGTAAACCACATTCATCCCATATTTTTAACACATACGCCTCTTACCAGCTGCCAGGCACGCTGGGTCATATTTTGGGTTTGTTCTGCGGTCGTACAACATCATATTAACCTTGAAGTCAATAAGGTGACGAAGAGTATAGCAAAGGATTCTAGAGTTAAGTAAATGGACATAAATCCGACGGCTGGAGCTTCATCCAAAATGGGTCGTACAGAAGTATATAATTGACAATAGAATGGCTGAAAAAAACAGAAATCAAGGTTTTGCAATAGTCAAAATCAACACCTCATTCTGATTGAAATGCTGCTGCGGGGTCCGTCAGACATAAAAACATAGGGAACAAACTGATAAACAAAGAAGTGTAAAAAAAAAAAACCTAAGGAAAGTTTTTTTTTTCCTTTTCTGACAGCTTTGATCTCGTTTATTATTTCTCTAAAACAGCTTCATAACACAATCAGCAGGTGATGAAACGGGCTGTCACAAGAGACCGTCCTCAGCCACAGATGATAAATTCATTAAAGTTCCCAGCTTCTTGTCAAACATCGTCAGTGACATTATTTCTTCCTCTACTTTCATCGCGGGTACATCCACCACTAAAATTGCGAACTCTTAGATATTTCCAAGTGCACACATCGCACCAGGACTCCTGATATTTATGGTCCTTATTCTGTCCTCTAATTGAACATTCATGCATAACAAGAAGACCAGTTGCAGATGTCTGTGGAGCACATTTGACACCCCAGGGTGTCGTTTTACATGTCTTCTGTCAGCTGTATGACGCAGGACTGGTTCTGTCGGTTTGGCCTGTGACTGTATTGTTGCTACTCAAACACTCTGGACTTCCCAAATGAATATTTTATACATCTTTTGATATTTAAAATTGCATGGCAGGTATCTGGACTTGTTACTCGCTTGTATCCGATGTGAACATTTGTTTGGCAGTAATTGACTTGTAGATTGGAAAGCAATTCAGCTGCGGATATCCACATTACATTCTGAGTATCAAAAAAAAAAAAAAAAAAGGATTTACTGTTATCTGACATTACAAACTTCAAGCACATAATGGCAGAACAGAATGCCACTGTGGTTATCTGAAAATGTTCGCCCACTCTGAAGAATTAAATTAAATCTGCAACACATACCCACTCCAGCTATTAAACATAAAAATAACCACAGCTAGTCCAGAATATTTAGATGTTCTGTTTAGTTTAGACAAAAAAGTCAGATATGTACAACTTCTACAAAAGCGATTTATATTGTGTCAAGTCGAATCACTATTCTTCTGACAGGAGAGTCAAACGATGAATACCAACATCAGTCCAGGAATTTGAATTAAAACCAGACGTTGTTAACAGCGAAAAGCTTTTTAGAGATAAAGATTTTAATAAATGTTCAAATTTGGTGTTCGAATGAAGAGGCAATTACTTTTTATGTGGAGCAGTGTCACACCTAAAATGTTCAGAAATGTCCTCCGGGTATTCAAAGATAAGAAAACAGCTAATAACGTTGCTTGGAGTTACAACAGTCACAACAGGTTTGAACTTATACACAAAAGTTTAAATATAGGCATACTCCCTGACACATATGTCAAGATGCTTTACCCCAACTTGCATTCGACCATTATTGTAAGAATTAACTAGCATCTGACGTAGTTCTGGAAGGAAATTCAAACACTTTTCTTATCCGAAAAAGCAGCCTTCATTTAAATTGACTGGTTTCCTGCCATTAATCTAGCCATAAGCTCTTCATAAATTCTCCTTCACCATTAATCCACCCGCTCTGAGTAATCCTTTAGTGCAAACTGCACAAAACAGCCCCACAGCATGACAACCAGCACAAGGCTCAACAGTTTCACCTGTTTGCAAACATTTTCCTGGGTCTTAGCAGCATTTATGTGAGCATACAACTTGTCTCCAGAAGAACCTGGCTTATTTATTTGGCAGTTGCAAATTTTAATAAACGAGCTCAGAGGTTTAGGTCTTGGAGTCTTTCTTGGTTAGTGATGTAAAACCCACCTCACCCTGGGCAGCGACACTGGTGTTGTGTCATTGTCCAGATTCTGGCAGGTTTGTGGTGTGGTATTTATGAACATCTGTACCAAGTCTCCTCAATTAAAGAGGACAGTTTGGGTCAGTCGATTGAAACTTGGACACAATTGGGTGCTTCAGCGAAAACATAACCCCAAACAAACGACAAGACTGGATTTGAAGTTGACAGAACAGGCCAGACCCGTCATTTTAGTCCCCACTGAAACTCTTTGGACTCTGCTTAGGAGCTGGGCTTACAGCAGGAAGCTCTACAAATTTTGTCAAGAAGAGCGAACAAATATCTTGACAAGAATTGCACCATAAGTTGGTTGAAGTTGCTTCTCTGTAGCTTGCTAACTGACATTACACCAAATATAATTGACTCAAAACACCTGTGAAAGTTTCCTGAGCCTCTAAACGATCTCTCAAGCTGAGTCCGTATGAGGAAGACTGCTGATTGGACAGATGTCCAGGAGACAGTTATTGATCCCTTCCAGAAGGAGCGTAAGACACAAAAGGTTGTTGCTAAAGAAGCTGGTTGTTCACATAAACTTTTGAAAAATTTCAGTTTTCAAGAATTTTGCCAACTATTTATTTTGTTTCTTGCTTCATTTCTTCTCGGATACAGAAACTTTAACGTACATTTCTTCTCATCTTAAAATGTTCATCATGAGCTTGAATGTATAATTTTGAGCAGTTTTGGCTGACACACAGTTAAATTCAAACTTGTTTACCCGGTTTGAAAATCCAACGGGGTTGTTTTCCGCAAAAGGCCCTGGAAAAAGAATGGCTCAAATGAAATATTAAGAGCCCTAAAATAATATGAAACTGATGCAGGTATAGAATCTTTTACACCTGCTGCTGAAAGAGGGAACGACTGACAACCTTAACACTGAACTGTATGATAAAGTGATGCGTAATGAGTGATGCATCACTTCCAGAGGCTTACAACTGGTTGATTTATTGCTTAGAGAATGAAGCTGTAGATACATCTGACAGAAGTAGCCGTCATTGTCCCACTGCAGAGAAATCCCACTAAAACTCTTTATTTCTTGTTTTGTTTGGTCATTTATTCCCTCTGGATTTTGGTCTGTTATGGTGCATAACTGTAGCAACAAGGTACTTTTTTTTTTTTACAACAGGAAGAGGCTTGCATCACAAAACCTCAACACCTGAACTTTGACCTCAAATTTCAGTTGAGTTGAGAAGGAGAAAGTTCAAACTACCCGTTCCACTGAATGCTGTGGGCAATGATTATATCCAAAACTTCAGACAGAGATTTACGAGATCATGTTTTATTAAACAACAAAATATTTACTGACGGTGAATAACAGTTCAGCGACAAACGGTAACAATGTTAGCTTGATGCATATTCTCTAAGTCCCTGGTCACAGGTTGAGGATGAAGCGGCCGACATTCATCATGTACGCTGGTTTCAGATATTTCTGCAGCTCGCTCTTCTTCAGCCAAAGCAGAGACGCGGTCGGAGCGCTTCCCGGAGTGCCGTCAGCCAGGATGGCTTTGAAGAAGAACACCTTTACTCCGACTGAGTTCTCGGTCCGAGCAGCCTTGGGCAGTTTGTACTTGTAAACTCCGCAGGGAGTGTTGCCGAGGAAAGTCGCCTTGACGCCGGCTGCTGTGGATGGGAGGACACGGAGGTGGAGTTTGACCAGGGAGGCAAAGGGGGTCAATCATGCTCTACGCTGTGCTTGGTTTGCGTTCTTTCTCGGTTGCTGCTTGAATTTGCACAACATTTTTTTAAAAATCTAATCTCGTATCATGCAAATCCCCAGACGGCTCAAGATGAGAGCAAAGCATCAGCGCTGCCTTGTTATAGATGTGCCGCTCCCCTATGAGTCCAGCTTTATTAAAAATGGATCAACTGAAAGACACTTTAAATAAAACCCTCCACTAAACACTACATTCTAATATCAAGGTCTTCATAGAAAGTGTTTGATGGAGCGATCCCTTGCTAAAAGCTGCACAGCAGTTTAAAGCAGTCAGTCAAGTGCTTGATTAGCTTGTAGACTTTGCAGCTTAGAGGCTTCCTCCAGCTGCACGCCAACAACTGCAGCTTTGTTTTAAATCTCTGTTGTGTTAAAGATCTTTACCAAGTCAATGAAAATATTTGCAGCCGGAACTTTATTCTGGATTTAATCCTGTTAACAGACTGGATATTTAGCGTGAGTGTGTGAAGTAAAATTCAGCGTATTAGCAGGAGAAGAAAGGATTTGTAGTGCTAAGACGAGCTTCAGGCACATTAAACAAAACTAAACGTGTAGTTTTTAGCATAGTGTCAACGTGAACTAAGAATTTAAAATGAGTAATAACAGATGAGTTATAACTGATTCTGAATTTCTTTTCAGGAATTGTTATAAACTAAACACTGAATTTGCTGAAGAACTGCAGGGCAACAATGCCTTTCTTCATGACATATAAAATACTAAAAAATAGTTTGAGAAACTTAATTTCTCTACTTGACTGTCGCTAAATTTACACACTACCTGTTCAAACACATGGAAGAACTGTGAGGTGCGGCAGTGATGAATTTGGGCTGCTGTTTGTAAAGTTACACAGTCAAACATTAACAGTAGTAATTTGGATTATATAACATGTCCTACGATAAGGCTATATAATTATTTTCAAAGTCATATTTTCACCATGCGATTTATTCATTCATAAATGGCACAGTTTCTAAATAAATATTTCATTAGGAAACAAATATTTAGTTGGAGAGCTACATATTTATTTAGCAAGCGAAATTTTAGTTTATCAATTTAATATTTAGGTTGCTAAGTAAGCACTTAGCTCCATGTTAAATACTTACTTTGCAAACTAAATTTGGCTTATCTACTAAGCCAAAACTAACTAACTAACTAAGTATTTAGCTTAGCTAGCAAAATACTTAGCTTTGAGCTAAATATTTAGTAGCTCTAATGTAAATAACATAGTTAAAGTTAGCTTCAAACTAACTTTGGAGCTAAAGCTAAAATGATTAGAGCTAAATATTTAGTTTGCTAAATTGTCAGCAAGATAAATATTTACTTAATAAGGTTTGGTTAGTAATAAAGCAATAAATTAGCAATCAATATATATTGCCAAGTAATTATTAGCAATAAAGTCAGCAAACTAAATATTTAGCTTCTAAATAATACTTACATAGCAAGATAACTATATTTTATAACTATATTTATAAATGTATAAATCACACAAGATATTTTAAACTGAGAATGAAATGAATGAATGAATGAATGAATGAAATTAAATGAATAAAATCAGGGTTAAACTGTTTCTGTGCAGCTGTAGCTTGCAAAATGGACTAATGCAGAAGTGGTGCAAGATTGTCCAAGGCGATATATCATGTACTTGAAATGCTAACATTAGTTTTCCCAGCTTCTCAGATTCTGCAGTCCACTGCCTACTGCAACTTAGACTGCTGATCAGTGTTTTACACAATGCCACCTAAAGAAGGGGGGGGGGGGAAACCTGAAGTTTGTGGTGTTTAAAAAATAGTCAATCTTTAACACACTTGGTAAAACAAGGCCACTGTATCAAGCTGTAAAAAAATACATGCAGTAGGAATGCAGTAACTTACATTCTTCTTGCTCTCAGTGACTAAAATGTTCTAATTGTATTGTATTTTTTTTTTAAATAAAAAAAAATTATATATTTTTGTAAGTGTAAAGTATAATTTTTTACAGCTAATTCTCTTTAATCATAAGGGATACATTTGTAATCAGCCCCTTTTATTTTTAAACCCGTAAATAAAATGTAGTTCAGCCAATTGCCTTCACCAATTGTAAACGGATTCTGCCTGTTCTGCTCTATAAAGGCTTCAGAGGTCAGAGATCAAACATCACCAAGACCAAGAATTACAGCAGACATGTCTGGGAGAGAAGTTTAAATCAGGGTTAAACTATAAAACTATGAACATCTCAGAGAGTGTTGTTAATCATCTGAAAATGGAGAGAGTATGGCATGTGTGTTTTCTGTTTCTGCAGGTGTGCCCCAGGGTTGTGTATTAGAGCCCCTGTTATTCAATATTTCCTTTCTGCCTCTTGGCCACAAGTTCTGGAAATGTAATATTAACTTTCTTGGTTTTGCAGATGACACCCAGCTCTACATTTCGTCCAAAACCAACTCCTCCCTCCCTCCTTTTTGGATTGGTTCTCCGCTGATTTTCTCAAACTTAACTTGAATACAACAGAAATGTTACACTGTGACACACATTTAATCTTCCCAGTTTCTACATTAATATTTATAACTTCCCTTCAGGATGTCATACATGGGAGTACTCTCCCAGCTCAGTCTCATTAATTACATCACTTGGTCTGCATACTTTTACTTCCTCCTTCATTGTCCCTCCATGAACTCGCACTCCTTCAGAGCTCAGCTTGGTTCATAACTTGAAGTCCCTCAAGAAAATACCTTACTCCAGTTCCTTAACAGCTTCACTGGTTACCCATGGAAGCTAACGGATAAACTTTAAAATGTAAATGCTCACGTTTTAAGTGCATTCATAACCTTGGCCCTTTTTATGTATGTAACCGGCTTCGCATCGCCACCGCTTCCTGCTCTCTCAGATCTTCGTCTGCCACTCATCTTATTGTTCCTTTCGCCCGTCTTATCACCATGGGGAGTGCCGCTTTCAGGCTGCTCCTCGCCTCACTTCCTCCAGTCATTAGGAATATAAATTCTCTCCCCTTATTTGAGTCACAGCTCCGAAACACACCTGCTCACACTGGCTTATTCGCTTTAAACCCAGACTTTGACTCTCGTCAAATCTTATGTACTGATTTGCCGTTTTTAATTAACTGTTTTGTTGATTAAATATTTATTTTCTTCTTCTCAAACATGCATGAAAGAATCAAGGCAATGATTGTTTGATAAGGGAATAACATTATGAAGCATAGCTAAAAACAAAGATGTGGTAGCTTTGTGGTACCTGTCACGGAGTTGAGCGCTCTCTCCGCTGTCTGTCGCAGCGTTTCTCCCTCCTGCCACGCAGCCTGAGGCAGCAGCCACAGCTTCTCTGCTCCTACCTGCTGCTCAGCCAGCAGCACCAGAGAGTCGGCCAGGCAGCGTTGCACAGAGGTCAGGTCCTCGTCTATGTCGGCTAAGCAAAAATAAGGGAGAGAGATGGGAGACCTGAGCGTCCGCTGGGCCAGTGAGAATAGATTGTACTCTAACTTTCAGAATGTCACAAGAAGGAAAATTCCTATTAAGGGGGAAAAAAATTCATCCGTCTCATAAAATTGACCTAATTTTCTTCCTGTTTTCCGCTAATAAATTATAAAACTTTTTTTTTTTCTTTCAGGAATGTTCCAAGAGCGCTGTACACCCAAGTGACTTCTTGACTTTTAACAGTACTACCCTCCACTGACCTCTGACCCTTGGAGCTGGCTGGAAGTTCTTTAACCTCTGCTCCCAGCTGTCCTCCAAGTCCTGAGTCATCATAATCTCTTGGTCACCAAGGTCCTCGTCCGAGTCATAGTCGTCAGCCTGCCTCCGACTCATCCTCTCCGCGTCCTCCATGAGCCGCAGCTCATGGTCCGACAGCATGCTTTTCTCCAGCTCCATCTAGGGTGAACATTGTGTTTAAGATTACTTTTGTTAAAATTTTATGTTACTATTTTTTTTCTGTGCAAGCTCTGACACATATTTCCGAAAAGCCTATTTGATGTATGAAATAGCTTACAAAAAGAGGAAAAACTTCATGTGGACGGAATATTTTCAAAGTGTAGTTTCCCTATCTTCCACAAGATGTCACTTCTCCATCCATCAGGTCACAGAATCCCCTGGACACTTTTTCAAGCAGAACTTTGTCTTTTGATCCCCAGCGGCTCACCTGCTGCAACATCTGCTTGAAGCGCTGCTCTATCGGACTGCAGTCCGCTGTAATGACGGGTAACCTCTGAAGACACACCGCGGCCATCAGAGACCAGGGAGAAGTCGCTCTGTCCGCTGCAGTACTGGCCCGAGGAGTCGCTCTGTCAATAGAAGTGACGGAAAACCGGCGACATGCCCCGCTTCCGACAGCTGTCCTACTAAAATAACACAAAAGCTGAGAGAAGGACCGACTCGCCATCTTTCTACAGGGCGCAGCCATCTTCTTTTGTTGGGTTCAATGTGTGTTCGGAAAAACGGGTTGTTAGCCGTTGCGCTACAAAACACTGAATTTAAAATGTTGGCCTTTTGAAAATAAAGTCTAAAACTTCGTCGTGTTTTCTTGAAATAAAATACTCTCAATTAATGTACATTACTGTCATAGTTTTATGGCGCTCTCTGACTCTAAGCAAATATTAACAACGAAATGTTAATATTTCCGAGGCTCCTTCAGGAACCTGAAGGTTGTGGTTTCTCAAAATTACCCACAATTCCAAGCGCCATCTAGCTGCAGAAACGGTGGAGCTCCAGTGGTAAGCGGAAATCAGTGCAGCTCCTCAGTAAATCGGAAAAAAAATGTCATCTCCGGTTTTCAACTGAATTTATTATATTTATTTATTATTAGTTATTATGGACCTACTCAAGACATAAAACTAATGATGACATAGGAAAAAAGGGACGGCAAAATAGGCGTATGTGGTGACTATTAATAATAATTAAATCAGTCGATCAAATACTGTATTAGCGGAAATAAATTATATTGATTTAGTTAGTAAGTAGACTCATATTTGTAAGCAAATGTATGACTAAATTCATGCTAAGAATGTACAAAATTTTATGGATTTAAAATTTGTATTGACATTTAACATTTGCAGAAACGTGACGGAGTGAGCGCTCTTAGCAGCAAGCTATCTTTTTCTCCGGTAACCTTGTCAACAAGAATCTAGTCAGTTAGCATAAAATTAACAACTCGTCATGAACACTTTGAATACTTTGTCCACTTTGTACCGTGAAAAACTTTAGTTTTTGTAAGTATATATGTGTTGAAAGACACTTTGATGTGTTGTTTTTTCTTTAGTTGATAAAATGTAGAGCACATGCACATAATCTGTGAGCGTTGCATTAAGATATGTGTATTAGCTAGAAATTTTGTTGTAGTTGCAAAATGCCCATTTATAAAACATCTTCAAATGCAAACCTAACAGACCTTTTATTAGTTGTTCGCTGGCTGTCTACTCAGTTGTTGTGAGGACAGCACAACAAACAGCAATAATTATATATTTATTTTTACTTGAAAATTATTTTGACACTTTAAAGTGGATCATAAATCCAATATGGTAAAAAAGGAAAAAAAAAAGAGGGGCAGGTGCTGCTACATAAGGACATCCAATGTTCTGTGAGTTTATATAAAACAATGAAATTAAATTTTTGGTTATATGCTCATACTTTTTTTTATTATTGAAAAAGTTTTTCCTGCTTACATTGTTTCTGTTATACCTTGCAGTTCATTTTGGGTCAGCTCTGCTGTTTATTTGCTTTTTGTTTGTTTGTTTTTAGAGGTTTGACGTTTCCTATTTGACGCAAAGCTATTTCCGCAGACCACTGGAGCTCCGCCGGTGAGGTCGCCTGCAGGTGCGCGTGAACCTGACCTTGTGCCTGCCGCCAGGTGCGCGTGGCCCTGCTCTCGTAAATGCAGGCAGACACTCTTCAATCCAGCTGCTTCGTCTGTGACCGTACATCTGTCCTCTTCCAAACATGGCGGGTTACCTGAGAGCTCTGAGCACCGTGTTAAGGAGCGCGGCCGCTCCGCTGTCATCGAGCCCCGCGGCGCTATCACCATCTGCCGTCTGCATTAAAAGACAGCAGCAGAGGGACTGTAAGTCAGCTTCCTACTGAAACTCCAGTATTTCGAAAATACACTGCTGCTGTTTGCTCTTGTTGTTTAGGTTCATAGCATTACAGGGCACTTGGACACATTTGTGCCAGTTGTGTTGTTTTTATTATTATTATTATTTTTTAAACGGTCCCAAATGTGACTCTGAAAAAAGAAAAAGAAAATTTCTTCTGTTTGGCGACCAGCCATTGATGAATCACATATAAGACTGCTAACACACCAACAATGAACGAGTTCATTCATTGCTTGTTTAAGAAAAAGAAAAAAAAAAAAGGAAGAAAATACCAAAACTAACCTGTCAGGTGCTTAGAAACAGTGAAACTATAGAACATTTTTATTCAAAGTAAAAGATAATTTTTTTCATATACTTAAATTAAGTGCAACCTGCCTTGTCTTTTCATCCACTTATGTAATAAAGGCTATTATAGCCCTCATATAGCCTTGAGGTCACAGCGTGAGATAGCTTGACCACGTTCATAGCTTCATATATAGAACCTGTCGTACACACCCCGAGAGTTGCATTTGAGTTATTTAAAAAGAAATGAAGTGTCATCATCTTTTGTTCGGTATTTCCAACAGGTGTCACAGGATGTTTCCTACATTTCTCTGCATTAGGAATCTTTGGACTCTCCAAAGGCAGGGAGGATTTATGATTTTCAGAGTTTCCCTCTTGCTAATAAATCTTCAGTGACTGTGTTGACTGTGTGCAAACTTTGACCTTTGCTACCATTTCCCCTTCCTGTGTCCTTATGTAGCTTTAAAAAACGTACGTTATCGGTGGCTCAGATTGTTTGATTTATAGACCTTATAGTCTTAAATTGACTTTTCACAATTGTGATGATGTGATAATTGTTTCCCTGTGTTATTGCTTTGGTTAAAGAATTGGGGTGTTAATACAATGTGACAAAATATAAGGCTCATGATGAGGAAATCACTGATCATACTTTTTCTCCAATTCCAGTTTTGACCGATTTTTCCTTTCCCTAGTGACATTAAAAATAGGACTGCAGGTTAAGATTATCCATATTTATTAATGAAAGCAAACCTTTATCTGAGCTTATCAAAGTCACAGAGTTGATACATTTATGGAGTGAAAATGGTCAGTGGGAAGACACTGTTATGGAGGACTGATCCTGCCAAAATTGACAATAAGTAAATAAGTAAATGAGAAAATAAAACTGTAAACAAGCACTTAAATGAGGAAATCAAATTGGAAATAAATAATTAAACATGGAAATAAGCTACTAAATATATGATGAAATAAAATTGAAAATAAATAAATTTAGGGGAAAAAAAGTGGAGTTGTAATTATTTATTTTAAAATAGTCAACTCCAAAAACTATGGCGTTGCATTGTATTTTAATTTCAATGTAGTATAACAAAATTTAAAGAAAATAATAATATGCAATTGAATGAGATTTGAGACTTTCTTTTGACTCTTTATGTCCGTAATTCATAAAGGTAAGGTACGGTAAGGTAATTTTATTTATATAGCACATTTTCAGCAACAACGCAATTCAAAGTGGTAAAAATACTTGACCTAAGATAAATTGATATGCCACGGTTTAATGGTTTAAGTACATGTGTATTAAATGGTGTGCCTACAGGTAGGAAATGCAGAAAGGGTTGAAATGGTGGCATATTGGGACAAATAGATCTGGAGCTGGTGGAAGTTCTTAGTTTTGTTTATTTGTTAGTTTGTTTAAGTGTCTGACCTGCAGATTAGCAACCAATCAAGACAAAATACTCCCATTCTGATCTGTTGGTCTTTAAGGGTTGGTCTTAAATAGAAATTTCAACTTTAAAAGTCTAAAATTTTACCAGCTTAACTTTAAGAGAAACCTCGTTAGCTCTTAATTTCTATTTTTCAGATTCAACAAAGCGCATCAAAGTGGACCAGCCGGTGGTGGAGATGGATGGAGATGAGATGACCCGCATCATATGGGAGTTCATAAAAGAGAAGGTAGAGCCTGCTGTAGTGACTGATGTCAAACCTTTTCGATTAAATCTGTTTAAAAGCTGCGTGACTTTGAGTTTTCTATGTTGCTTTTGACTCCAATGTGGGGAAACCAACACTTTGTTTAGCTCATCCTACCAAATGTGGAGGTGGAGCTGAAATATTTTGACCTGGGTCTGCCCTATCGCGACCAGACGGACGACCAGGTCACCATCGACTCGGCTCTGGCTACGAAGAAATACAGCGTGGCCATCAAGTGTGCCACAATCACGCCTGACGAGGCCAGAGTTGAAGGTGAATCTGAACGTGTCATTAAGTTGTTGAGTCAACGCCAGATTTGATATGTGTGCAGCTGCATTTCCACTGACGATATATACCCGAAATTACAAAATAAATTTGCTTAGTGAAGACACGGCGATTTAAAGAAAAAAATTATTTGATAAAAAAGATTTTGTGCTAGGATGAAGTGGTTTTTTGGTTGTATCTCAATTAGCGTATTTTGCAAAAACCACAATGAAACACTTTTCTCATTACAAGAGTCTTGTAATCCACAACCGGATGTTACTGCTGCTGAAAAAGATGACGACAAACAGTGGTAGGAGGATGATGTTTTTTAATGACTTACTCGATAAACAAACGTATTCCAGTCTGATTTTTAACTGAGTTTTGTATTTAATGGAAACACTGCAATTGTGAAATCTTGTATTTTTGACAGCGGAATATTGACAAAGCTTTGTGCACATGTGTAATGGAAACGCAGCTTCTGATAAAGTTTTATGGTTTAAATCCTCAAACACATGCTGCATTTTCCTATTTTAGAGTTTCGCCTTAAGAAGATGTGGAAGAGTCCCAACGGCACCATCAGGAACATCTTGGGTGGCACGGTTTTCCGTGAGCCAATCCTGTGTAAAAACATTCCTCGCCTCGTTCCTGGTTGGACACAGCCCATAACTATTGGCAGGCATGCCTTTGGAGATCAGGTGTTTGAAAAAAAAAAAAAAAAAAATATATATATATATATATATATATATATATAATTTCTTCTCAGGAGGATAACAGCTAAATGCTTAAAATGTTGAAATGCTCTCAGTACAGGGCAACAGACTTTGTTGTGGACAAACCGGGGAAGTTCAAAATGGTTTTCACTCCAGCGGATGGAAGTGACCCCCGGGAGTGGGAGGTCTACAACTTCCAGGCTGGAGGCTGTGGAATGGGAATGTACAACACGGATGAGGTCAGAGCACATTACAGGATCTGAAATGTGGCCAATCTCATCTCTATATTTGGTATTCGATTGTTGATTTATGCTGATTTTGATATCTTCATCACACAGTCTATCAGTGGCTTTGCTCACAGCTGCTTCCAGTACTCCATCCAGAAGAGGTGGCCTCTGTACCTGAGCACCAAGAACACCATCCTCAAGGCCTACGACGGCCGTTTCAAAGACATCTTCCAGGATATATATGAAAAGTAAAAGAAGCAGTTTCTCTGACTTTCAGCATTTCACACAGACAGTATTCTGTCGGTACAAATCCTGTATTTCTTTCCAAACCACTTTGCATCTGATCGTTACCTGATTTTTTTGCCACGTCCTCCTTCAGGTCGTACAAGCCCGAGTTTGACAAGCTGAAGATCTGGTACGAGCACCGACTCATTGACGACATGGTGGCCCAGGTTCTGAAGTCCAGCGGAGGATTTGTTTGGGCCTGCAAAAATTATGATGGAGATGTGCAGTCAGACATTCTGGCTCAGGGTCAGTGCTCTACAACAAGACCATGAAGTCAGGCAGTGCCGTTTCTTATTCCTCACGATGACGTTTATTTCTCTGTGTGTGACGTACGCAGGCTTTGGCTCTCTGGGTCTGATGACGTCGGTGCTGGTGTGTCCTGATGGCAAGACTATAGAGGCAGAAGCTGCTCATGGCACCGTCACCAGGCACTACCGAGATCACCAAATAGTAAGGCTTCCAGATCAGTCTGAAGGACGGGCTTTACCGTGGGGGAGAAGAAAATTGTACTATTTTTTATTTCCATTCAGATCTTGTTTTGAGTCAATCAGAGGTTTATGATAAAGATGGGACAAAAACACAGTGCATTAAATGACATTTTTCTTAAAAAGGAGACCAGAGACTTCCATACAAAGTATAAAAAAAGAAACATAACCTTTTTTCTTTACTGTGGTCAAAAGAAACATTTCCCGTTTTAGGGCTAGCCAAAACTGTGCCAATAATTTGTCCAAATCCTGGAATGATGAGAGAGATATTTAACGTGTTTGGCCATGATGAACACTGCTACATTTGGAGGAAACAGAAACTCGAAAACACGTGTAGAGGGTCTGGTACACTTCGTAAGATGGATGACGTCACGAGGAAAGAGCATTCTGTGGAAATATTGAAGACCAATACATACTTGGCAAAGAAAGAGACATTTGTTCTCTTGAGTTGCAAGAACAAAGGTTTATTTCTTTTCTTACCAAGACATTTCCCAAGAACTCGGACATCAAACCCTTAGGATGTTCTTCTAGGTCTCTCTCGATGCAGCACCTCTTGGTGTTTGAAAGCAACAGATAAAGGGTAAATGAACTGAACTTATCTAGTGTTTTTCCAATAATTTTAACCACTCAAAGCACTTTACACTAGAGTCACGTTCACCCATTCACACACACATTTATCCACCGATACGCAGATCGGTGGGCGACTTGGGATTAAGTGGGTAACTAGTCATATGCCCCTTGTTTAGTTACAATGTGGCTTAAGGACAATGAAAGCAGCTGCTAGTGTGGCCATCGCAAAGTCCGGATATCAATCTCATTGAAAACGTGTGAACAAGGTGGCCAACCAACCTGGTTCAGTTCAGGAGGAATGGGCAAAAATATTGGGAGAAGCTTGTGGAAGGAAACCCTGAATTTTTGACCCAAGTCATAAACGTTGAAGGAAACTTTTGCAGACATTCATGTCATGTCACAACAGTAGGAGTGGGAGAAAACGTTTAGTGTGTTTTACTATAGTATGTAAACACATGGTTTCTTAAGCTAATGCTCTCGTTTAACAGATTGTTTTTCTTTGTAGGGCAAACCGACCAGTACCAATCCCATCGCTAGCATCTTTGCCTGGACTAGAGGTCTAGAACACAGAGGAAAACTGGACGGAAACAAAGATTTAATAAAGTATGCTGTTTTCCCCCATGCTCGTCTTCATGTAATTGTGCACCTCAGCATTTTCTATAAACCACATCTTTGCTCCTAAGGTTCTGTCAGACATTAGAGAAGGTGTGTGTGGAAATGGTGGAGAGCGGAGTGATGACCAAAGACCTTGCAGGCTGCATCCACGGCTTGGCTAAGTGAGTTTGGATTTTCATTTTCTTTCCAGACTGTGTGTTGGTAAATTTTATTTATTGTCCCCATGATCACGTTTTTTAAAAATATAGTGTCAAGCTGAATGAACACTACGTCAACACAACCGATTTCCTGGATGCCCTTAAAAACAACCTGGACAAAGCTCTGGGAAAGTAAACCGAGGACGTCATCAGATTTTGAAGAATTCTCCATATTTTTACCTTTTGCCTGAATGACTGTATATGAATGGATTGTATATTTTTAATAAACAATTGTGCCTTTTATTTTACTTCCTGCTCAGTGCCAGCACTCTTCCAGCTATAAATACTTTTGTAGCCTATAAAGCAGAAAAGGCCACAATAGAAATGAAGGCTAATGTTAACTTATACTGACTTTGACAGGAACGTTTCAGGCTTATTTAACCAGCAGTAGTGTCAGAACAGAGTGCAAGTCTGAACTATGTATGCAGTATCAACATTAATATAAAAAAATGTTAAGAACAAAATGGTGTTACGTCTCCTTTTTCTCTGATCCAGATTATCGGGGCAAAAATATCACAGACATGTACAGAAAATTTGACAAATTGCAGATGCAGTGTTTCACCAGCAGATGTCGACATTACGAAGCTGGTGAACTTTCAGAAGCAGGTTGAGGCCACTGCTGGTGAAGCAGAATACATGGTTACCTTTAATCGCTGACTCTTGCCTGATCTTATTATAATTTGAAATAGATGAAGTTCCTTCAAGGCCGTCTCAACAGACTTCCAAATGTAAGGCCAGCGCACTTCTCAGATATGAAACCAACTTTTTTTTTTCCATTTCAGTTCATTTTTTAGTCATTTGGAGACGACGCATCTCTAAAAGTTCAAAACAACTGCTGACTCGGAGTTAGGACGGTCTCCTTGTTTTAAATTAGATGTCAAAGAAAATGAAACGCCTGTATCAAAAATGAATAGAAATTAGCATTTAGATGACTTTCATTTCCAAATGTTTAATTTCCTCCTCCTCCCAGAATGACCCCCCCACCCCCCAAACTCCATCCCATCATTTACAACCTTTAAGGGCAATTTTGAGATGAATGATCAATCCTCTCTTGGAAAATACTTTCTCAGGAAGGATAGAGTAATCTCTGAGAATGCAAAGCCTCCATTAAAAAGATCAAAACCAACCTGGAAGAGGACATAAACAGTAAATTACGGAGATGGCAAGGCGTATCACAAAGTTTCATCATTCATCATCCAACCTGCCGAAACACTGGGGTTAAAAACAGAGAACTGAAGTTGAAGTTCCCATGCAGTCTGGAAAAATATGGAATTCTATTTAGAGACTAGAAGAATATGAAAAATATTTTTATTATCAGACATTATTCCATATTCATTATTGGACTGTTGTCCAAAACAAGTTTCTTTTTTTTTTTTTTTAAATAGAACACCGATCAATCAGAAATAGTCAGGAATTAACCAATTTTCTATTGACTAGCCCTGTTAGCGTTGACAAAATTATATATATTTTTTCCTTGTTCTATAAGCTGTAGGTCTCTAAAATGTGGTCATTTGTAGTCCTTGGAAGGATTTTGTGTTGCCCTTGACTACATGTCAAGAATGGCACAAGAAGTTAAAGCAGATAGAAAGTTATTATTTTGCTTGAGATTTTCATCAATTTATTTTTCTTGAATAGAAAATTTGAAGTGAACCACAAAGTATTCATATTTTATGAATCAAGCTTTTGGTTTTCATTGTAATTTCAAAGTAAGGAGCGTTTAGACCTGGGTTCACACATTTGTTAAACTTAGATCAATCCATTTTCACTGATGCTTTTATTGTTCATTTGAATAAGAAAAGCATATATGATTTTTTTTTTTTTTTTCCCAAAACAGGAAAACAGAAAATATGGCTTTCTTTCGTTTCGGCTCTGCAAAAGTTTAGAGAGCACTTTTCTACTATAATATTCATCGTCATTACAAGATGTACAAATAGAGATCACGTTAAACTTATTTTTGTGTTTTTAGTTGGATATTTGTTTAGTTTTTGTGGCTAGAAATCATTTTAAATGTGACAATTTTTGGTCTTTTGTAGGAGATAGTTTGGACACCACTGCACTAAATGAATCAAAATTAAGAATTCCCATAATTTTTGCTCTATAAGCGCATGTACTTTAGCTTTTACTGAGTTACTAAAGAAATCTAATGAAAAATAGGGACCAATACTTTACATTGGAGTAAACTCAAAATTGCCATCGGACAGGGAAATTTCAATTCTGATATCTTTTTTTTTGTTATTATTTATAACCTAATCTCTTTAGAAATAGATGTAATAAATTCAATGTGAAGTTCTATATAAATACTCTAAAAATCTACTAAACTCTAAAAAAAAGTATGAAAAACTATAGAATTTAGACAAAAATGTTTTGGAACAACGTACTCAAGTCAGAAATGTCACAAAATTCAACACTATTCTCACATGTGTGTATATAAGAGCAAAGTTACTATCCTGTTGGTAGTTGGTTAATTTTAAATATTCTTCCAGGTTTTCATGCTGCTTTAGTTAGATATTATATTGATAGCTCTATATAAACTGGATCTGATAGTCGACGGCTTACTTTGTTTTTATTTTTTTCTGAACGTTTTCCCAAAATATCCAAACTGAAAAGAAAATGAACGCAGCGGTAGAATTACAGAGTCCTGAAACTAATTCTTGCATCTCAAAGGACATCCACGAAACATCTGCGTGTTAAAATAACCCTACCAGTGAAGCAAAATCTGTTGTTTAATAATATAGTTTAATAATATTGCCATATTTGGGAGTTGAAAGATTTTACAATCTTATTTCCCCAACAAACAAACAAAAAAAAGTTTCAACCCAAAAAAAAAAAGTGCTTCGTATCATTTACTCAGTAATTCAAAAACTAGAGTGATATATTCACTACACAGGATAGATTATTCATGTAAAGCTAGACCATGTGGAATAGAAACGGTGGGTAAACACGCTGCATGTCGCAGAAAACCTCTGTACAGTGAAAGGGCTTTTACATGCCAGCAGTTTTTGACCTGAAATCTATAAATATGCGGTGACTATTTATCAAAACTTCAGTATTTAATGAGCAACAGGTGGACAGGGTGGAAGATGAGCCGTAAAATGTTTCTAGCTGGCACTTTCAGTCCAGAATACGATGCCGTGTGAACGAAGATGGCGAACGATGACTCTTTTTTTTTTTTTAATCACATCTGCAGTGTTTTCTTCTTTTTAAGTAACTGATACATACACACAACATAGAGGTTTTTGACTGTCCATCAGTGACAGTTTGTGAGTCAGTAAGTCTAGTTATTATGTGAAAGGAGCTTCCAGACCACAATCAGCAGCTTCAGAGTCTCTGCTGAAGGCGGCCGGAGGGTTGAAACGGCTCCTTTGAAGCGCGCCTCCTTCCAGGCCTCCCATCATCGTCCGTCAGATTCTGGAAGGAGGCCCGAGCTAGAAAGGGATGTAGAAGAAGAGGAAGAAGAAGAAGAAGAAAGAAAAAAATTTTTTCCCCAGAGTCTGTGAAAACAACTCTGTAATTTCCATCAGCTTTCAGAGGAAGAAGGGAGGGGGAAACAGCATCTTCTCTGGTGCATTAACGCTCATGGTGTGGTGTAGCTGCTCGTATCCTTCCCGAAATTGTAATATTCCTCCATGTCCTCCATGTTCGCTGTGGTGAGTTTTGTGAGGTTTTGGGAACCGCTGTTGTCCATATTGTCTGGTGATGTAAAGTTAAAGTTCTGGCCTTCGTATTCGCCTTGGCTCTCCATTTCTGGAAGAGTTTCTGCACGTTCAAAAGTAGAAAGGAAAGGAGAGTTTAATGACAAAGGGAAGACAAGCTTTTTTATATGTCACGATTAATACACAAAATGAAGTGAAGGAATACAAACAAAGCCGTTATAAAAGGTTATTAGAACAATTTCAAGTCTGAAATATATTTAGGTTTAAGATAAATTTCAATCTCTTAACCACACAGAGGTTTCTGTTGCTTTTAGCATAGCTGATTTCTGGTTCCGTCCTGATTTCCAACTTCGGGACCAAAAACAAGAAATGTGCTCTTCTCTGCATTAACCTGGGGACAACTGTAACCCAGCAACTCCTCAGCTCTGTCTCCATTGTCACGTCTCAAACTTGCCTACAGGTCCTCAAATCCAGGCTTTGAGGACCAAAAGCTGCAGGCTTTTGATGATGAATGAAAGTGGCCCGAGAACGGAGCTTTGAGGAACCCCCAATATAATCTTTTATCACTGAGATTTAGAACAAAAAAGTAGTCCATCTGACAAGTATTACCTGAACCGACCTAGCTCAGTCAGAGACAGTGCCAGGCACATTTCCAGGCCACCAATCAGTAGGTTTTGATCAACAGTGTCAAATGTAGAACTGAGATACAGTAAGATCAAGAGAGATGGACTTACAAAACTACAAATAAGCAAATTTGGCATTGTTGTAGCTCATTCCAGAGATGCAAATTACAAAGAGCTTTGGAATAAAATACAAATACAATAAGAGAACAAAAAGCAAAATTACAAATATAAACCTAAAAATAATAAATGTCCAAAGGTTATATAAAAAATAAAAATGTATCACTAAAGGCTCGTCTGGATAAGAAGTCTTCACTGAGATTCTGAGTTGATGTCCAAGTCTTAATTAGGTTATAGATGTCATTAATAAAAGTATGGATAATCATCATGTCAAAGTTAGCATTTTGACTCAAACTTTCACTTTTAAACATTATTCAAGCTAAAGAAACAATTGTAAAACTGGTATTTGGTGTAATGTTAGACACATTGTTGAAATGCAACCCTCACGTTCCTCAGACCAGACTGAACAGCTCCATCTAAATTTGCTGGCTGATTTTTGAAGTTATGTTGTGCAGAAGGACAAGCAATCGTGATGCGTTTCTGGAGTCAAAGTGACGGTTATTGTAGCTTTGTTACTTCTTAACGTCTGATGAACAGTTCAGTAGGTGTAATTTACAACTTGTTCCCATTTGTCTTCTTAGTACTGTGTTCTGGTTGACAGCCTGACCGTAGGTGGATATTTGCGGATAAACTGGCTTTTTAATGATCATTGCCCAGCATGTTAGGTTTGCTGGCCCTGTAATTCCTTATTATTGAGACAGAATGGTCTTCTTTAACAAAAACATGACTGCAGCTATGATTGCTGCCTTTGGTGAAATCAATAAAGTTTCCCTGAAAGTATCATTTTGTAGCTTAGCAAAATCACAAATCCAAGATAAAGATTTAAACAAACATTAAGTAGAATCTATTAACCTAAGATGACATGATGCTACAGGACAGACTCTACGTTGAAATGAAAAAGCAGCCCTGACCTTGACCTTCTGGTGAGACGTCCATGCCATGTTTGACCTTCATGTGCCTGCTGAGGTTCCCCTTCAGGTTGAACTTACTGGTGCAGTAAGGACACTTAAAGGGCTTATTGCCAGCATGGAGATGCATGTGGCCCAGCAGGTTGTACATTCTATTGAAGGACTTCCCACAGACCTGGCCCACAAAAAAAACAAAAAAAAACATACCAATTTAGAAAAGTTGACATTGACATGTACTAAATGAAAGTACACAATTAGGCGTCTCATTCTCTTTGCATTAAATTTGTGTCACTGGAATCTCGTCGACCTCCCACGGTGACGACAGCCATCCAAAAGGCTCACCTTGCATTTGAAAGGCTTCACAGGCAGATGGACGATCATGTGGGTCTTCAGGGTCTGCTTCTGGATGAAGCTCTTGAAGCAGACGTGACACTGGAAGGGCCGGACGCTGTTGTGGATGAGCATGTGCCTCTTGAGGTTGGCGGACAGGGTGAACTCCCGGGAACACACCTCGCACTTGTGGCCCTTCATTCCCTGCAGGACACAAGCGACATCAACACGCAGCAAAGGCAGCAGGGAATGTAAAAAGAAAAAAAAAAAAAAAGAAAGTTTTCAACTCCTTTTCGGTGATCTGCAGATTATTCGAATTCACAACAATGCTAATCATTATGCTTGTCTTGGATTAAAAACAAAAAAAAAACAACCTTGCAGGTGATTACAATTTTTCTTGAATATGCTTTGACACAAACCCTCCAACATAGGCTTTTCCTCCAGATTCTAGCTGTGTAAAACCTTGTTTATCTAATAAAGTCCAATAAAACAAATGTATGTTTGTGGCTTAAGTCACTACAAATAGACCATACGTGTCAAACTCGCAGTGTAACTGCATTTGGCCCACATGGGCTCCAAATTCCCTGCCGGTAAACAGCACATACTACAAATCCCAGAATGCTCTGATGGTGATACAGAAGGTTCTCTGCTGATTAGCGACCTCATGAGTTTAGCATTGAGCTTTGATAAAGGGTAGGACCTGAGTGGTTGAAATGTTATTGAAGGAAATTATTACAATTAAGTAAAACTCTGAAAGTTACAACAAGAGAAGAGGCATAACATTGTTTATTTTAAATTAATATCTGAAACTTTGCTTGTTCACATGTGAAAATATTTCTCATTATATCATTAAATCTTCCTGATTTGCAGACATTTTCTCAATAAATACCCAGGCTTGCCCATGACTTTGGCCCACAGTGTATCTAATTTTGCCCAGCCTGGTGGACCACATGCAGCCCATGCGTGATAACACACCATTCCTCCGAATGGCTGTTAACCTGTTGGTCTCAGGTTGTCATTCACAATGACGGGGATGTCAAACTCCAGTCCTCAAGGGCCGCTGTCCTGCAGTGTTTAGATGTGCCACAGGTAAAAAACGGTGGAATGAAATGGCTTAATTACCTCCTCCCTATGTAGATCGGTTCTCCTGAGCCTTGCTAATGACCTAATTATTCTTTTCAGGTGTGGTGCAGCAGAGGCACATCTAAAAGTTGCAGGACAGAGGCCCTTGAGGACTGGTGTTTGACACCTCTGTCACGAGAGGACCCAAATTTGGGTCCTCTCGTGAATAACAGGTTAAAATGTACATAAAATGTAAGCATGCGAGATCCTTACAACTGAGAAAATATTCCAGCAAAAGTTTTCTGTACATCCCTGAAGATGAGCTACTGACAACTAAAGCAACATTTTTATTGGTTGCAGGAAGCAATGCAATTAAAAATAAGAACTACAAATCAATCAGCAAATTAATTGTTGGTTTCCAGGCCTCAAGTCCTGCAGCACACTGATACTAAAGAGAATGTCTAGAAGTTATCAAACGCTGCCCGTGGTATAACGCCGGTTTTAATTCATTTCAGTTGAAAAAGATCCTTTTTTTCTATCCCAAAGGGAAATTAAATGTTGCTGGGGATGATACTGAAGGTGGAGTTTAAGAAAGAGTTTTTAAAGCATTTTAAAGAGACCCAATTTCAAGAAATTAAATTACAAAGTCAAATTTCTTTTAAGTCATATCTGATGTATAGAGCAAGCAATTGTGTTGATTAATTGATTGTGTTATAAATTGGAACTATGTGCCTGGAAAAACATAATTCTGCCCTTTCAAACCACGTTCATCCCATAGAATACTGCACAGGATAATTGTTTGCAGGAAAACCTAAAGGTCACATAAGGTGGGAAGTGATTGGTAGGAGTACCTTATGAGTTAGCGAGTGCTGACGTAAGTGGTGGAGCTGCACAAACTCCAGGCCGCACTGGGAGCAGGTGTAAGGCCGCGGGCTCTGGTGCTTCAGCAGATGGTTCTGGAGCTGGCTCCGGTATGCAAAAGACTTGTTGCACTCAGTGCACTGGAAGGTGTGTGGGCCCTGGTGGCTGGTCTGGTGCCGTTTGAGGTGGGCGTAGGTGGGGAACTCCATGCCGCACTGTGAGCAGACGTGGCAGCGGCCGCGCTCGTGCTTCACCTCGTGCGCCCGCAGCTCGCTGGGATAGGCGAAGCCCCGGCGGCAGAACCGGCAGCTGTATGGCTTGACGTCGGTGTGCTGGAGCATGTGTCGCTTTAGGTGGCTGGTCTGGGTGAAGCCCTTCTTGCAGACGGTGCACTTGTGGGGCCGCGTTCCTTGGTGGGTCAGCAGATGGGTCTGGAGGTGACTGGGCTGCTTGAAGAGCTTCCCGCAGTGCGGGCAGGCGTGTGGTTTGATGCCGTTGTGGCCCAGGATGTGCGTGACCAGGTTGTACTTGGACGTGTAGGACTTGTCACACATGCGACACTTCCAGCGCTTGAGGCCGTCTCCAACATCCACGCAGTACGACTCGTCAATCTGGATGTTTATGTCCAGCCGGTCCACTCTGCGGCCCCCATGTCGCCGGGGAGGCTGAAGGTGCGGGGGCTGCGGATGCTGCGCTCCGCCGCTCCCGTCCGTCCACATCATGCTCTGGCCACCATCTTCGTACTCGCCGCCCATGCCCATTTCTGTAGAGTCATAGCTGCCCACCTCACTGGTCTGAAAGTAGCTGCTGATAGCTTCCTCCTGCTGATTGGGCTTCATCATAGCGTTGCCCTGGTGTTCTACCTCCTCTTCGTCCTCTCTAGCTCCTCGACAGTGGCCCCCCATTGGGCGCTGGGGCTGGAGTCCCCTGTGACCCTGCTCTGCGCCTCTATGTACCACTTGGGCAGGCGGAGGATGGACGTGAGTGTTTGCTTGCTGCTGGTTGGTGACTTCGCGCTCGCACTCTGCACAGTTCTTGTTGGGGCCTCTGAGAGTGGCTGGATCTACCTGAATTAATCCCCCTCTGGGCGCCATATTGTTCAGCATGTGGACGCAAGAGGGCATAGCAGAGGTCACCCCTTCCCCTTTCACGAGGGAGGAGTTCACGTCACCGCCTTGGAGGGCGTGACGGTCAGGGAGGACCATTTTGGTGTCCACGTGTTGCGGTGGTGGTGCCGCCTGTTGCCACCGCCTCTGGCTGCAGCTGGGCTGCATCTGTCCGTCTTCTCCTAAGTTGTCTCCGAGGTAATCTCCGTTGGCGCCGATAAGCTGGTCTGCGTACTCGTAGTCGACTCCGTCTACTGGCGGTGCAGGGGACTCTTTGGGTTCGCCGGTGTAGAAGCCATTGGGTGCGATGGTAGCTCCAAACACTTCATTCTGGGAGATGAGACCTAGCACGGCGGCCTGGGCCAAGGACAGCACAACTACGGGATCTGTCTGTGTGCTTATGTCCACCAGCCTGGCCATTACCTTGGGCTCACATCTACCCAGGCGCCGGCTCGCCTCCTCCTGGAACAGAAAGGGACAGCTCATCTTTAGACATTGTTTGCATAGTCTAACCACATAGAAGCAAAGTTCTTTATGAATCTCTATGGTCAACATTTGTAAGTCCATACTGGACAATAAACAAAAAAGTTGCAGAAACAACAGAATGACATAGGTACCCCGACTTATTAAGGAAGAAAACCATACTACTAAATCCCATTCAATAAGAAGCAACTTTATTCACAAGTGAGTTGTTAGCATAAAACAACTCAAGTTGTTTTATGCTACTAGAAGCATAAAACAACTTGTAGTAGTAGATCTTCTACTACAGTAGTAGTAGAAGATCAACTGCTACCGTTGATCTCGGTAGTAGTTGATCTTCTACCGAGATCAACTAATCCCCAAAGCTAGCCTTTGACTGGAATCAGACGAGGTTTTGCTTGACCAGATTGTTTGTTTTTTTTTAATCAGCAATTGGACCACACATAAGGACTTACAGGCTGCACTGAAAATAATCTTTGGGTTGATTGACTGAAGTAGACTCAGTGAGCTGGTTTCAGTATCAGAGTGGTACTGAATCCATTTTCTATAGATGCATGTCAGCCGTTCATTCAGAATGCCACTTAAAATCTGTATGGGAGGACTAACGTCGGTTAAAAGATAGCTAAATGTATTACACCAATGTTTTTAGATTTTCCACAAATAACTAATAATAACTCAAGACTCTGCTGGACTTGGTTTGCGGAGTTTTGAAACCCTCAGTTAAGGTACAATCTACTGGCCACCCAAGGTGTACACACAGAGAATGGTAGTGCTAATTGCTAATTTAATATAATTACATTATTAATGTTCAACATTGTGATGGTAACATCAGTTCAAATTTACACAGGTTTTCCTAATTTTTTTCCATTCTCACATCCCTACCATTATCCTTGAGCTACAGCATCTCAGCTGCTAAAAATATACTTAAAAATATATTTTTAAGTATGCTAAAAATATATATAGAAGCAGGTGGGAGAACTGCTCCTACACATAAATATATATATCGTTGGCTACATAATAGCCAACGATATTGTTGGCCTGCAAAAACATGAATGCATGACACAATGCATTGGCAATCCTTGGCAATTGTGATATTGCCAGCTCTAGATTTCATCAAGTAAAACTTTTAATATATGGTCTAAAGTACTTTTTTTATGTGGTTTTTCTGGGGTACCATAAACTGTCAGGACTAAACGAAGGAGTCCCAGGAAGTGCTACTTTCATATTGCTAAATGTATACTGGTTCAAGTAATCCGTAATAACTTACTTTCCCAAAATCCCTGACACATGGGAACATCAGTGATTTGTTTAAAACTTGGAAGTAAAAGGGCCAAGTTTTTGTCTACTACACTCGCTACTGGCCAAAGAGCGTTTTATTAAGTTTATCAGTGAATGGGTGAACTGCTAGTAACTCCAAAGCCAAAGTGATAAATAAGTTGGACTAAGACTTAAGGTGAAATGTAGCAAATAAACAGGAAAAGTCGGAATTGAAATGTAAACAAATTCAAAACAAATTTTGAAATAAATTCTGGAAATTTTAACGTCTTTCTAAAGCACAATTTTAATTTTTCCTACTAATCCAGATTTTTTAAGAGTGCGTACCAGGAACCCTGTACATTTAAAAAATGCCCAGCTATAAACTGCTTTCTAGGGAAGCATGTCAGTGCCAAGTGTCAACACTCTCTGGAACAAACTTCCAGAAAACCACAAAACTGCTGAAACACTGAGCTCCACTGAGCTTTTCCACTCAAGTATCAAGCTAAACAGACTGGTATAATATTTTTATTTTGCCATGATCTAATGATATAGGGCAGACTGAGGCAAGCTATAATCTGGTAAAAGAGCAAGGAACATATACTGTTTTGGTATTTGTTTAGGTAGGTTTTCCTAAAGGTAGAAAAGGGCTAAAATCGATGCCAGCAGAAATCGGTATAGGCAATAAGCCACAAAATCTCTGATATCTGCATCTTGATTTTCTCTGTTGTGAATGAAGGAAACTGAGACGTGGAAGTATGAAAGACAGCATCTCAATCCACCACGATAACTATGTATGGTGTGAGTGTTGAGGAGGATCAGATGGCTTACTGATCTCCACACACACAGTGAAGTGCAGAGGAGGCTGTAGGGGTGGGGAGGGAAGACCTGAGCAAGATTAAGGAATAAAAAAAAGTGGAAAACAGCAAGAGAGCGGGGAAGAACAGTAGAAGAAGAGGAAGAAGGAAAGTGGGAGGGGAAGCTTAGAGCAGACATAAGTCTAACGCAGGGGCAGGACGGGAGAGAGAAAAAGATAAATGAAAGGTCGAGGGACGGAGAGGCAGGAAGGTATTGGAGGAAGAAAGTAGGAAGCAGCGGCTAAAAGAGAGAAAGAAGAAGAGAGAGAACGAAAGATGTGTACAGACAGAGAAAAGGATGGGAGGGAGAGGCGATGAGTAACCTGGAGACAGAGGAAGGGAAAAAAAAAAGAATCCAAAATGAAAGCCAGACTGAATAGAAAAATGTCAGGTAAAGCAATTCGGAGAAAGAGAGCAAAAAGGAAAGAGCTCTAACGAAGGAAGGTGGTAACAAGCAAACAGAAAGAAACCTACATGACTGACAATCATGTGAAGCAACTTTCCAAACAAATAAAATCAGAACAGCATCACCGGATCCCTGAAGACAACCACCGACCGCGTCTTTCCACCATGCTGAATACGGCAGCCAGCGAACTCACCACGCTCCTCCTGCTGTGAAGTTTCAGGTGCTTTAAGGACCTCATTCTTCAGCGTGAGTGACAGTCGGCTCCGTCTGCCTCTCTTTTTAAGCGTGAGGGACGGAGGGGAGGCGGGCACGAGGGCTAACCCGTCCTTCTCTTCCTCCTCCTCCCCCATTGCATGCACAGTTTTAAAAGTGATCACAGCAGCACTAATGACATACGGCAGAAACAAACACTAATGTTCTTCCACCGAGCGAGCAAGTGGCTGAGGATAAATGAGCCAAGTCACTTCAAAGTCCCAACATACGAGCTCAAGATGCTCGCAAGAACAATAAAATCATATCTGTCTGAGATTATACTCTCCAACTACTCCTCCATTGCAGTCGTTCTTGTACTAATGTTTCTCTTTTTTCTTCACCTCCATCTTTTCTCTCCTTCATCAAGTGATTTTTACAAGATAAAACCAAATAGTTGCGAGACTGTGTCAAGGACAGACTTGCACAGAAGCGTCTGTCAGGGTTAGAGGACGAAGACGACGGAAAGAGGATGAGAATGAAAGAGATGAAAGGTGACTGACAAGGGGATGAGCAAATGGAAGAAGAGAGAGACAGAGAGAGAGAGAAGGGAGATGAGTGGATGGAAAGAATACTCAAGAAAAAAAAGAGGGGAGGGAAGAGACAGAACAAGCGAAAGAGACGGAGGGGGATGGGAGAAGAATGCGACATGGACAACAGAGTTAAATGACAAAGCAAAAGATGGGGGTTTTTTCTCTTGTCTTTATGCTACGTCAACTTCAATTCTACAGTGACGAACTTTCCATCTCTTTTTAGCTCGACTCCTCCAGCAGAATTAGGGAGGAAGCAGAAACCCGTGAGCAGGTGAGAACGCGGCCCCAGGGCCGACCAGCGCCAAACAAGTCACATTTCTAGACAATGCAAGCATTCAACGTGCTGTTTTGAATGCATTCCTCATTTCAATTTTCTGCTATTTTTTGTGTGGTTGTCTTCACAAAATGTACTACTTTGTTCTCCTAATGTTATGACTTTATTCTGGTAATATTAGGACCTTATTCACGTGTTAGTTGAACTCCCCCGCAGAGTTGACCTGAATTCAAACTCCAAAAAAAATTGAAGTTGTAAAATGCGCTTGTCAGTCAAGATGGCGGCTGCCATCGCTGTGAATTATGGAGACCCAAGCAGAGCATTCGTAACAAAAACAAAACTCCTGATTTTCCAAAAAATGTATCTTCAAATACCAAAAATTCAATTAATCGCTAAAACTGATTTATTGCCCAGTCCTATTAGAAATATTAGAGTCTAAACCAAGTTCCTCTGGTTGAAGCCAAATGCTCTGGGCTCATCTGGATTGGGATTGACCAAATCAGTTTCTCATTTCATTTAAGCTTAATCGATGTGGTTGGACATCATTTCTGGCCGATCGAGATCTTTAGAAACAACCTCTTAATATCAATTTCTCTTGCCTGAAAACTCACCAAGTTAGCAGCTGCGGGGTGACTTTGTTAACCAAACATGCTCAAACCTCTAAGCTTCACTGCAGGGGGGGGGTTTAAACCTCCAAAAATGAGCAGACTATGGTCTCCCATGATTTCACAGCCATATCACAACTTTGTTGAGCAAACCCTACCTTATCAGATATTCCTTGTGTGGCACTTTCCTAATGGGACTTTTTTTTTCATTACACAAACCTTATTTATGTATAGTTGTAGTCTGATTTCTTTGTGTTGTAGTCATTTACATCTTTAAGCATATAATTTGGAAAGTTGTGGTGTTCAATACTTATTTTACCTATTGAGTTCTATTATTTAAATAAAAATAATTATATTCAGTATAACATTTAAAGGGCGATTTTGTTTAGAAACTGCACAACACATTTTATTTATGATTTCAGTTGTGTGTGGTTTTTATTTAATTTTTATTTGTTGTTTTTAGTTGTGTTTTATGTGGTTTTTAGTTTTTTAGAAGGCAAGCTTTCATTTTTTTTTTTTTTTACCGTATTCGATGCATTACTCGAAAATGGTCTCAAAACAACAACACTATCATTTATGGCAATAATTAGTGTGACAATTTATCGTCCAGCAAAATTTGTTATTGTGACAAGTCTGATGTAAAATGTTAACATTTATTGAATGAATTATTGAATACATATTTTAAAATTTTATTTAAAAACTCTATTTATTAATCACTGATTATTTATTTTGCACCTTTTCCAACAGCAAGACACAGGTAGGTCTGGACTCACTACTACGGCAGTATCCCCACAGCAGGATGCTGCCACCACCGTGGGGGAAGACGTTTGCAGAGTTCGTGTTTCTGGCACAATTCACCAACTCCCAACGTGGACAGAGTGTCACTTGGATTAACGCTACATGAACTTGCTGATTGATTAGAAATATCTATTTCATAAGTTTTTTCATACTTCAAACATGACACTAAGTGATATTTGAATCGAATATTCATGTTTTCTTATTTAAAAAAAGGAACCAAATTGTTTTGACTCACATTTTCTCTTTCATTTTACACCTTTCTTTAGCTAGCTTAAGTAGCTACTACAGAACGACTAATCAATTTTTTTCTTCGATTGTTCAATTCATGTCAGAATAATCAATAGATTACTCAATTACTAAAATAAGCATTTGTAAAAGGCCTAACCTGCAGTATTCCAGTTTTTCATTCTAATAAAACCACATCCTTTGTGTTTTCCCTATTTCTCAAACCACATTGAACAAAACTTTATGTTGCAGCCTAGAAAGCTGGCCTCTTGCTGAACATATCCAAACAAAGCAGCTGCGACATTATGAGAAACCACATGTTTAAGGCATCAACACTGGTCGAGATACACGTTTTATTTAGAACAATGTGAATAGGATGGGTGACTTGAATGGCACCATGAACGGACGGGTTAAATTAAAAAAAGCAAATGTGCTTTGGTGCAAATTTCAGCTTTAAATCTGCATGTATGGATGTTTTGATTCTGGCGAGTTTGGATTTTTATGATGTAAACGTTTTAATAAAAGTTTGTGTCAGAAATCCCAGGGAGAAGTATGGCTAAACAACCAGATGGAGAGAACATGGAGGAAAGGGAAAAAGAGAGGGAACTGGCAGAAGACAAAATGGGGGGCGTAATGGAGCAAGCAGAGAGAAAGAGGGAGAGAACAGATGATTGCATGAAATGAAAGAGGGATTGAAAGGGGGGAGGGAGAGGAGGAGATAAAGGGAGCAGGACGGGGAGGGGGGAGAGGACTGAGAGAGAAAGAGGGAAAGAAAATGAGAGGCTGCAGTGGGGGATGGGAGGATGCAGAGTGAGAGCAAAGAGACTGAGAGCGAGACAGAAAAAAGAAAGAAAAAAGGAGAGAGAGAGAGAGGTGAGACGGGGAGCGACGTGAAAGCGAGACAGATGCAGGGAGGGGCAGCGTCCAACGTGAGAGAGAAAGAAGTAGGAAGGATAGGAAGAGAGGACAGGGAGGGGTAAAATATGATGGAAACCGAGAGGAGGAAAAGAAAAGAGAAACACGAAGGGAGGGAGAGTGAAAGAGGAAGAGAGGAGGAACAGAAAGAGGGGGAGGGGAAGAGAAAAATAAAGAGGTACAAAAAAAAACAGGAGCAAGTGAGGGAGGAAGAGAGCACAGAACCCCTCGCTTTTTGTTTTTGAGGTTTTACAAACATGGCTGCAGCCGAAGAGGAAAAAGAAGAGTGGAAGTCTTCATTTTGAACACAAATACATTGTAGTACAGTGGTCTTCTTCTTCTTCTGTCCTGCAAAAGCAGCTCAAACACAGGCTACTATCTGGACTGGTTTTGGTACATGATAGGAGTTCACAAACTGGGCCCATAAGAGAGAGGAGGCCATAACATGCTGACGGGGCCAGACACTGCAGAGACGGCGAGAGACATTTCAGGGCTTTATGTGGGAGAACCAGGCTCAAAAAGGTGCACCGATCAATCTGCTCCAGACCGAAACCGGCCAATTTTACCAAAATGATCAGCAATATTAGCAGCAATAGACATCGAATGGTGGAACAGATCCCAAACGAACAAGGCTCGGTAAACAACTGCAGAAGGAAGCAGTGTCGACACGATGGATAGAACTTTTCAATGGAAGGTTTCCGTCACCCATTGCTCAACAATGTTAAATCAATTCATAAACTTTTGTCATGCATTATTATTACTTATTATTACAGTTCGTTACTGTCTGGCTTCTACTTCTTCTGCAAAAGCGGGTCGCAAAACGTTTTGTTCACAAATATTTCAGTCTCATTTAATTAGTAGTCGGAACGACGGCACAAAAGAGATTGAATTTAAGATTGAAAATCATAGTGGAAACTTTTCCATCCCCATCCTTTCCTTTCTCAAGCATGAAATGGACAGAACCTTTAAAAAGTGTCCAGGCCCCCTGGGGAATGGTTTAGCCTGAACAGACTACATTAAAAAAAAAAGACAATAGTAGGTTTTCTGCACCATGAATATTACCACTGACTTAAAACATCAATCGGTTACAACCAAACATGACGATTTGTCAAAATATTGCTTGTTAGCTTTATACATCTATCCATTGAGTTAATTGTTTGGTTTGTTTACAGGACTGGTCTTTAAATAAAGAAGACCTTTTATTCATTCCTTCATTCCTGTTGGAGTTAAAACGACTACCTCTATAAAAATTTACTTTTGTGCCTAAATTTACTTTTGTGCCTTCCTTCACGTTTTAATACTTGGGAAACAAAAAGTCCAGATCATTCAAAGTCAGATTTAGCAGGGCAGACCTCAAAGAACACCAGAAAAGTGTTAGACATTTGCATTTTTTCACACCCGACTAGTGCAGCTGGAGTTGAAGTGTTTTTCCTGTTCTGCAATTCCTTCTCCTTTAACAAACACCCCAAATGCTCAGACAGCTTTCTTAACCTCAGTGTCTTATAATAGTTACCATAATTTGAACACTTCTATTGCAAAAATGTACACACACTGTAGATAAGACTAGAGATGCACCGATCTCATTTCAAAATCTGTATCAGCCCAATATTGAAAATAATTCTAGATCAAGTATTGCGACTTTGTAATGAAAGAACAATTTTAAAATCAGTCCAGCACTGTTTTTCTATATCGGATTGATATCGGTCGATAAGCTTCAGATATCGGTATTGGAAGTG